CTTTACTTCCCCAACTCGAAGTCAGGTACCCATTACTGCTGGGTGGGCAGGAGGGGGCGAAAAAATCCATGTCTGAACAGAGGTTCGAACCCGGACTTTTCGCTTCAGACACGAGTTCACTAACCGCTCCGCCATCACACCCTTGTCTTATCTTATAACATACCCAAAAACATGACGAGCGACTGATTTCCCCGCGTCATGACACAATGTAATAAAATGCCCAAAAACATGACGAGCGACTGATTTCCCCGCGTCATGACACGATGTGATAAAATGCCCAAAAACATGACGAGCGGCTGATTTCCCCGCGACCTGACCCTCGTGACTGTATCCTCAGAGGCAAGTTCGGTGTGGTGTACCGCTGTACGGAGAAATCATCCGGCCGGACGTGGGCAGCCAAGATTCTGAAGGTGAGGGAGAAGGACCGAGAGGGGGTGAGGCAGGAGGTGGCGGTCATGAACAGGCTGAGACATCCCAAGTTGTTGCTGCTGTGGGACGCCTTTGACTCGCCGCGGAGGATGGTGCTGGTCATGGAATAGTGAGTGATTTGTTGTTGTTGTTGTTGTTGTTGTTGTTGTTGTTGTTGTTGTGATGGTTGTTGTGGTGGTGGTGGTGATAGTGGTGGTGGTGTTAATGGTGCTGGTGATGGAATAGTGAAAGGTTTGTTGTTGTTGTTGTTGTTGTTGTTGTTGCTGTTGTTGTTGTGGTGGTGGTGATAGTTCTGGTGATGGAATAGGGTTTGGTTTGTTGTTTTTGTTGATGTTGTGGTGTTGTTGCTGTTGTTGCTTTGGGACGCGGAGGATGGTTCAGAGGAAATAAAATGTTTATTCAAGAGAAATTAAAACATAGTCATGATTATGATATTTTCCCTTAAGACGAAGAAACGGTACATGATTATGAGATTTCCCTTAAGACGAAAGAACTGTACATAATTATGATATGTTCCCTTATTAAGCAGAAGAGACTGTACAAGTCGAAAAAAATGTGTTCCTTATAAACCCGCTAGCAGTTTGGGAGAATACAACAGAGTATGTGAGCCTCTGCTCAACTGGAAAGGGTTTTTTTTTTACCCCAATGTCTCGTGCACACTCATATGACATTTGCGAGCGCCGTAAAACACTTACCCTAAAAAAAATAATATCAAAAGAACCTTAAATACCCAATGTCTCGTGCGCGCTCATATGACCTTATGCAGTTGAGAGCGCCGTAAAACTTTACCCTTAAAAAAAAAACAATGAACCTCTAATGTCTCGTGCGCGCTCATATGACCATAAAACACTTACGAAAACAAACAATATGACCTTATGCAGTTGCGAACGCCGTAAAAAACTTACCCTCAAAAAGAAAACCATAAAACCTCAATGTCTCGTAAAACACTTACCCTCAAAAAGAAAGCGATAAAACCTCAATGTTTCGTCCGCGCTCATATAACCTTATACAGATGTGAGCGCCGTAAAAAACTTACCCTGAAAAAGAGACCACTAAAACCTCAATATCTCGTAAAACACTTACCCTGAAAAAGAGACCACAAAAACCTCAATATCTCGTAAAACACTTACCCTGAAAAAGAGAGACCACTAAAACCTCAATATCCCGTCCTCAGTATCGGCGCCGGCGAGCTGTTTGAGCGGGTGATCGGAGACGACTTTGTCCTGACAGAGCGGGACTGCGTCCACTTCCTGCGCCAGATCTGCGAGGGCGTGGCCTACATGCACTCCCAGTCCGTCCTTCACCTTGACCTCAAGCCCGAGAACATTCTGTGCATCGCCGAGAACTCCAACCGCATCAAGATAATCGACTTCGGCCTGGCGCGACCTTTCCAGGAAGGTCAGAGTGTCAAGGTCATGTTTGGCACACCAGAATTCATTGCCCCGGAAGTGATTAATTATGACGAAATCGGCTTCGCCACAGATATGTGGAGTGTGGGCGTCATATGCTACGTCCTGTGAGTGGGGGAGAATTATACGTTTGTGGTGGGAGAATTATACATTTATATTACGTCCTGTGGGTTGGGGAGAATTGTATGTTTCTGTTGGGAGAATTATACATTTATTTTACGTCCTGTGAGTGGGGAGAATTGTATACATTTTGTGTAGGGAGAATTATATTCATACATGTTACGTCTTGTGGATTTAAAGAATTATACACCTTTCTGTTATGTCTTGTGAGTTGAGAGAGTTGTATACTTTTGTAATTTTCTCCAAGAATTAGGACAGTTTCAGTTTTCCTCTTGCTTTCATAAATGGATTGTGGGTGGCTGGCGGGTGCTCTGGTGTGGTTTGCTCCTTCTTTTTATCGAACGTCTATCGTCCTTATCTCCCCTCCTTTTTTTTCATGTTTGTTATTCTCTTGTAACACCTCTAATCTTCTGGCGCTCATAAGACCTTATTGTGTTGCAAATGCTGTAAAACGTATTAAAACTAAAACGTCTATTGTCCTTATCTCCACTCCTTTTTTTTCATGTTTGTTATTCTCTTGTAACACCTCTAATCTTCTGGCGCTCATAAGACCTTATTGTGTTGCAAATGCTGTAAAACTTATTAAAACTAAAACGTCTATTGTCCTTATCTCCACTCCTTTTTTTGTGTTTGTTACTCTCTTGTAACACCTCTAATCTTCGTCACTTATATGACCTTATTG